TACCTTGTTTCCCGTTTTGAAGACTTCGAGTGCAGTTAGTGAGGTTTTTCTTGCGGTATATTCTTCTTAATTTTTCGCTATGCTCCAGTCCAAGGATTTTGTTGCCTCTATGCATGCAATCCTCTTTTGCAGATTCCTGTGCGCTCAGTGAACTGTGACCATCTGCAGTGCTTTGACCTCTCCTCATATTTGGCAATCAACAAGAAGCGTCCTCGGTGGTCCTGTCCTGTCTGCAGTTTGCCCGCCCCATTCCGCGATCTCCGACGCGATGAGTAGGTGCTTCTGCGACTTCCAATTTGCTTTACATTGCGTTCCTCATGAGTTAATTTGTTTTACCCAGGTTTTTGTGTGTTTTGCAAAGAAAAAAGACTGGAATATCCTGTTTGACTTGCGTTGTTTTCAATATTCAGTCGTACCCCTTACGGTAGGTCATGTAAAAGTGCATAAGTGTGCCCCAATGACCGACCAGGTGAACAACGGAAGAACCCCTGTCAGTTGTCGTTCCGAAGTTTCTTATTCAAACTTCGGCTCGGAATAACAATGCTCGTCGAAACATATTCACCCGTTTTATTTCGGCCATCTAAAACAACGTGTGCTATGTCTCGAGTACTCCCTTTCGGTGTTGTGTTGTTATGGGAGTTAGTGGCTCCTTTTTCTGTGGCGTGCAAAGGAAAATTTATGCCGAGAATACACTTCAGAATTTTTAAAGTTACCGCCTGTCGTTCGAAATTAAGGAAAAATAACCCAATTTTGCATTCAGCCCAGCGGCACCACAGACATCTGAATAAGGTTCTCTAGTTAAGTATTACTGCAGTCAGGTAAAAGTGGCGCTATTATTAGTTGTTTGTTATTGGCATAGTAACTGCCCTAGGGATGGATATAAGAATGCTTTTGGCCCCTGCATACGTATCATCTTAACGGCTTTCTTTCCTTTAAGTTTTTTCGTCCAAATGGTTGCTGATCAAAGTCTCAAGGATGCCGAAATGGTCCACGTAGATGTCAGTGGGCAGTGGCAAGAAGTCTCGAAACCACCTGACAGTGCTTCCTCTGCTGTCATATCCATCAAGGATCCGATTTTCGTAATTCCTTCCGACAACCCGACAATTGCTGCCGTTCCCTCACTACTGCATGACACCTCTATGATTAGGCCTTACATATTGGACTCGAATTTGCCACCCAGACCGGTGACGCCAATTGGACCGGATTGTACTCAATTCAATGGTTGTATCCTTCGCTCTGGCGACAGTGACGAGAACGTTCGAGAGTGTAGCGCTACGCAACCGCAGCAATCAACCGTTGCCCATCCAACGTCATCCAGTGGTTGCCGCGGTCAGTGCCTTCCTCCTGCCGTCACTGATGAACAGTCAGGAAAGCATGGTTTTGCGATGCTTGATTCTGCACCAAGGATGTAGGTTAATTTTTTCATCCTCCCTAGGTAACTTTTGTGGGGCCTAAAAAGGGTACTTATGTATAAAAACCACCTACTTACAAATTGTAAGTAGGTTGAAGCTTCCACAGTCTTCCTGTTTTTAGCACGCCGGTCGTTAGTTCAGTAGGGATTGGATGATGATATTGAACTGTAGAGGGGTCTTCGCAAGGCCACCATGTACAATAGCCGCTTAAATCAGTATATTAAGTAAAATGGCTTTTCACATCAATTATGGGAATAACCGCTTACTTACAAATTTTAAGTAGGGTTAATTGCCAAAATATTCAACCTTCCCCACTCATTCGTCATTATTCTACTTGGGGTTAGAGATACTACTAAAAAACGTACCCCAGTGACCTCACCCGAAGTCTGTGGACGTCCCCCATGCATGCGCTCGCCAGTGGTCCAGTAGGGGTTAGCGATGGTATAAAAATTGTACTTCAGTGTCTCCGCCCGAGTCGGGGCACATCCTCCAACTTACCCTCGTAACTTTTTTAATTGCAGAATTATTACGAACTGATTTGTTCCCTGACATACCCCGACCATCCTATCCCCTAAAACCAGGTGCCCGTAAGACAGGGGTGCGCTTCGTGCCGCACTCAGGCGGCCCCCCGACATACTCCTACCCACTTTTGTTTCGTAATACTTCAATTTTGCGTTTTCGTTGGCAAGTCTTTGAGGCAACGGTGTTTTATGTATGGTACCTTATCCACAACAAGTTCCCGGATTATGTAATATGGGAGCTGTTGGGATGCTCGAGCACGTCACCCAGACAGAGACACAGACATCCGAGGTCACGCTGGACAAGTCAACCTTGT